AACAGGTTGACAGGTATGGGCAGGTATAAGCACGCGTAAGCACGCGTAAGCACGCAGGCTGGCATGTTGGCAGTTGCAGGTTGAAACTACACAGCTCTGGTGGAGAAAAATGCTCTTGCACCCTGGCCTCTTCATCTAACTCGCCCGAGCGATTGAAGAAGAGTGGAATTGTGGTATGAAAAAAGTCGGGCTGGTACTGGTGGTATGGATCACAAATGCCTCAGCTGCAGGCTCCCTCGCGCAACTCGGTCTTGAGGAGATGATGCCGAAGGAATGTATGAGTTTTAAGCAAGAAGCTGAAGAGGTAAGGAGAGATGTCACGGTCATCTCCATACAAGTTCCTCAGGCACTCTCTCTGAAGAAAAAGGAACTGCGTTCAGAGACCAATGGAGACCAAGCGTCTCTGCACGGCTCGAAAAAAAGTACCTCAGCTAAGAATCGCACTTCACGCTTGCACTGGCTGGCTGAGCGTCAATAAGCATACCAGCAAGGTCAAACACCTGCCACCTTCAGAGTTCTCATTCGACCTTTCGGTTTTCCTTTTGACAAGCAGCATGTAGTTGGCTGCGAAGTTCAGAGCCTGGGTGCTCTCGCCACATCGAGCCAAAGAAAGCCGGAAACGAGCAGCCAAGTTTACTGTACGTTGTGGCCACACACTCGACCAATGATGGGTGTCACATGCCAGAATCTTTACATCGTTGGAATATCCAGGCATGTCGCTATTTTTCTCTTTTTACATCACTCCAGCTTCTCCGGTGGAAATGCAGGTGTCCTGTATGGTTGGAACAGTGCACTCCTGAGCTGCCCTGCCCCTGGCAGACCGCGACTGCTTTGGATCGGAACCAAGTTCACGAAGGGGTCCTGCAACGCCACATGGAAGGCTCGATCACCCGACGAGGAAAAAGGACCCGACTTTGCGAGCTCGAACGCGCTCGGGCTCGATAGGGACGTCTAGCTCGGGACCCAACTTTGTGATGTAACAAGACAGGAGCTCGAACGCAGGCTGAAAGAAGAGCTTTTGTGGGAACCAGTTTGAATACCCCAATTCCTGAGGCACTTGGTCATACGTCTTTGAGGTAACAAGACAGGAGCTCCTGCTCTTCCAGACCATAGACCATCTCTTTTACTTTGCCACGGAGTTGAAGCCAGTTGGCATTGTCTGGATTCTGCGGCACCTTCACAAACAGCGCTTGACAGGATGTTTCTTCTTTAGACCTTCAAACTTTTTTGCCTGTTTTTTTGCTTTCAACGCCTTTTCCGCCACTCCAACCACTAGCTGCTAGCTCCAAAATGTGTATCTAGCTGTGCCTTGTAGTAGTAAATGCCTGGAGCCACGTGCTGTGATTTCACCTGCGATTCGCATCCCGCAAAGAACAAACTCAAAAAGGCTTTGCTGGGATCAGCAGAACATAAAGGGAAGTTGAAGATCAGTGGCTGTCTCTTTTTGCTTTTCCAAACAAAAACTGCAAGTCATGACAAGTCACAGTGCGCTCATCCTCCTCAGGTCTTGCCCTGGCCTAGGGGAGAGTGTCATGCAACACACGCTGGTCACTAAGGTTCAGTGTCGGACACAAGGTACTCGCTCTTCAGATCTCTGAAAGACTTGGCATTCTCACCTCTGAGATTCTAAAGGAAATGAAGTGATCCTTCTTGGATATGCAACCGAACTCTACCCAATCTCGCCCCCGTGCAGAGAGCGCCCCACACCGATCCCCGGGACATTCACATGCTCAGGACCTTCCCCACTCCGCAGTGACGGTCCCAGGAGCCAGGTAGTGCAAGCGCAAGGGCAAGGCATTCCGATCTTTCGGCTCCCAGTCATGGACCTCAGTGACCCAAAGCTCGGTGACCACAGAGGGAGTACGGATCCTTCCGGACTCTCTTCGTTGACCCCTCAGTTGACCCCTCCCATGCACCTGGGTCTATGCCGAAGTGAGGGCATGCACGGGGTCTCCCTTCTAGCCAGCTGGTCTGGGTTCCAAATCGTTAACTCTCGACCCACTCGCCAACCAATCAACCCAAAAGAAAAGGTCGGATGCGAAAAAACGGAAAACAGGAGGCTGATTTCGACAAGAATCTGTATCGCTCAGCAGGTCGAAGACATTCTCTTCATCTGTAGTGGACAAAGCCTCTCCAAATCCCACTGCAAACGGCTCAAGTGCGAAGAATTCACCAAGGGGTCTGAGACACAAAAGATCCAGCATGACCAAAACCCCCCCCGGCTGGGCACAGAGACTTTCGTTTTTCTGCGGCCGAACCGCCCTCCTTCTGTACTTCAACTAGCAAGATGGTCAAGCCGCAGACAAAAGTTCTCTTCTTCACCACCAAAGGGCCTAGTTAACAAGAACCGGCTTCGACCTTTACGGTCTTCAACTCCAAGCCCTTGTGGCCAAATGCCTGGAGCAATGACGCGTGGATTGCTCTGGATGGGTTTGCATGTTTAATAGGGAGGGAGGGGAGGTCTCCAACCAATCCATTTTTGTCTAGTCTCCTTCTTCCAGGAGTCTCCCTATTACACCGCATCCGACCAACTCCGTTTGGAGAAAACACCGCTCCAGCGAAACGCCGACACCGGCACAGCACCGCGTCCATGCGTCCGTTGAATGACTCTCCGCTGCTTCGACCAGTCCAACCAGACCTCGTAGAGCTGTTCAACCACGGTTTCCAACTGCATGAGGTACCGCCCATCCTGCGCGCCCACAACGGCGAAGAACAGACACCACGCCCATTTCTCAACTCACATGGCTCATGATGCTTTCGATATCAGATTCTCTGCCGTAGGAGTAGGAAGATTCAAAAGTAAAAGTCTGGTGTCGTTCTCAGCCAAGCTTTCTCACTTGGTGCCACAGCCCGACAATCGGTCCATCCATGACCAGGTGTTTTCCCGCAGGGTTTGGAGAGTCACACGACCACCTCAGTTGCTGTATCTTCCTCGCTGAACCCCATTCCATTGCCATTGGATAACCGACCAAAAGCCGTGGTAGACTCCGTTGAGAGGCCAACACTACACAGATGTGCCATGTCCAGTCCACCTGTGACCGTGCCAAGGCACTGAGATACTCAGCGGCTTCCTGAGCAGACAGGGGCCTGAGTCATTACCTTGCCAGTTCGATATGAGCTCGAACCAGAAACAAAGTGGTCGCTTTTGTGAAGGGAGAGTGATGAAATGGCTGCACCCATAAAGGATGGTTTTGCTTTGGAAGAGGACCTCGCCTTCTGGCCGCTTTAAAAAATTCAACCCTAATATGGTCCCGGGCCTTCTCCAAGCCTCCTTCAGCTCTAAGTCTGCTGATATCCTCGGGGGCGCCAAGACCACCATCTTTTAGAAAGTCTAAGACTGCATCTTGATTCCTGCGTCAAAATATCCCAAAGAGTAAACACGAGGGTAGGATAGGAGTCCCGATATAAAGACATAATGGTCCATAATGGTCGTCTCTGTGCAGACTTGCGGCGATTCGTTTCGTTCCTTCCACCCAAACATGGAAGAACTGTCGCACGTTCTCTTCCAGCGAGTAGGGTTCGTCAAAACCTGCTGCGAAAATCTCATCACTGACTGACCATAGCAAGAAAACATCACCAACTGACGCTGTCCGACGGCCTCAAGTTCTATCATGCGAGTACGTCTCAAAACGTGGGGAACCCAGCATCCAGTTTGCAAACAAAAATGGAGTTTCGTGTTTTGAGACACGCCCGCTTGTTTGCGAGCCAGGACAAGACCGCCGGCCTGGAATTGCATCCAAAATTTTGGTGAAAATCCTGAGATTGATTGCCAATAGCATTAGTTTTGTTTACTAGTAGTAACAAGTGCCACGCTAGTAGTAACAGGTGCCTTACTAGTAGTAACAAGAAGCTACTAGGAACAAGTGCCACGCTAGTAGTAACAGGTGCCTTACTAGTAGTAACAAAATGCTAGGCACCAACAAGTCACAACTAAATGTCCTTTGGTCCTCTCAATATGTTCTCGCTCTTTCTTCTCTCTCTCTCTCTCTCTCTCTCTCGCTGAACCTATCTGTATACCGTATATTGAGAGTCCACTGTTGCAGAGAAAACGGTGCACAAATCTCGGAAGGGATCACAGTCATCGTTCCATTCACATCTGACCTTCATCACCAATTCGATACAAGAATCTCCATCATCTGCTTCTGCTCTGTTCGGTGGTGGTCGTCGGCAAGAGTGACATGGAAGCGACACTCACATGCCTGGCAAGCGGTAAGCAAAAAGGATTCCCCATCAAGAAGCGCCTTGGGTTGGCTGCCGCCAATGCAACTATTAACGCACGCTGCATACTACAAAACCGACAACCCCTCTAACTGACTGCACGACCACTGCTTTTCAATCAGAAAGACTTCAGCATTCAGCATGTTGCCTTCAGCATTAAGCGGGCCGATTCAGTATGCCGTCGTCTGCTTGCCTTCGGCATACAGGCCACCGCACCAATCAGGCTCCTGTGAGCATTCAACTTCCAACGCAACACTCTTGACAGAAACCAGCGTATGCTGTGCGAGTAGAATAAAAACACATCATCCTGGCGCTGCTTGATCCTCACAACCCTTCTACTAATTTCCCTAACGATCCTTCCGAATCCTTCACTCTGAAAAGGTTGTGCCTTAAAAGGTGACTTGTGGAAATGCCATGAGGACGTTGCTTTCCTGTGCCTTGAAATTCAGGCTCACCCAAACCTCCTGGTGAGTCTGTGACTGTCTGTGACTTCTTCCTTCGCAAGGAATACCTTCCCCAAGAGGCCCAAGAGCGGTTTCTGTCCTCAAAGTAATGGACTTCTTCTCTCCGCTGCTGGCGATGCAAACATTAATGCATCCTCGGTGTAGATGCTCTCACAGAAACATGGCGAGACTGGCTGATTGTAGGACTATGAATAAAACTGGCATCCAGATGGGGAGGGGCCAAATAAACTTATATACAAATATATACAGTACATCCATTGGTTGGGCAGTCGACAAGCCCCAACAACATCACCAAGCAGAGTGCAAGATGGTCCTTCTCCTGGAACACACTCCTTTGTCAGTTCAGCAAGGGACGAAATAATACGACCGCCCCCCTTGGCTTCGTCTCACCTCGCACACCGGAAAACGGCTGTTTTGTCTATGTACATCAAGAACAAGATCAGCTCCGGTTTGTGAAGCAGCTGTCAGAAGAGGTCATACTTTGTCCTCTTCCAGTCCTGAGCCTTCCACTCGCCAAAAAGCATGGCTTCCTGATCCGAGACCATGCCATGGGGCGTGCTGATCCCATCCGTGTAAAGCTCAACATCCGGGGCTTCAAGCTCCCATATTCTCTCCAAAATACTGAGTTTCACATTGCTCACATCCACATAATTCATACTAATCCCATGAATGGGCTCCAGATTTCTCACTGCATGAGGATTTCCCGCTGGAATGAAGATTGTCTCTCCAGGCTCTTGGATCCCCACAAACTGCTTTGCATAGGAAGCCAAGGGAAACTTCTTATGATCAGGTCGGAAGACATCGTAGTGGAAGTGAGCACCCACGGGGCTGGCATAGAGGTTCACCAGGTCCTGGGCGGAATAGAAGCGCCACTCCTTTCGTCCACTCAGGAGGTGAAGCATGAAATTCGTATTGCCTGAATCAATATGAAGGGAGCTCTGTGTCTCACTGGAGCCAATAAACAAGCTTGGCCAGGAGTGCTGATATCCTTCAAAAGCAGCTCGCTGAAAATAGTCGCCTACAAAGTATTTGGGCACTGTGAATCCACTGAAGGGTGCAGGACCAAAGACCTGTGGACAGTTACGGGGCAAGCTCCAGTCATGGAGGTACCACTTGCGGCGAGTTCTGTTCGAGGCGAAGCTGTCGATGAATTCGCCCAATGGAAGCCGTCCGGCATCTTGTAGCCTTCCCCAGTCATCAGACTTCGGATTTCTCCTCTTGAGGGGCACAGAGACGTTGCAGCGATCTTTGAAGAATTTCAAAGTCCATGGAGCACCCCCTGTGATGTTGATGCCTGTAATAATCACAGGCAATCCTTTCTTCGCATAGTCTTCGATGAACTCCCTCACCGAGAGCTCTGCAGCAGATCGTCGCGGGACTTGGCGAGCTGAAGGTAGCTCTCCCAGACCAGCTTGAGCTTGGTCGTGAAGCATGAGGAAAAACCTCCTGAACAAAGCACCAAGTAAGTCCAGGCCACCTGTGAGCATTTTCTTGAACTTCTCCTCCCTTGACGGCTTTTCAGTGTCTTCAAGAGCCTGCAGAAAGCTCAGGCGCTCTTCCATCTCTCTCCAAACAGAGAGGCGATATGATTTGTTGCTGAGCATCTCCTCAACATCATCAATGCTGGATACCAAAAGCTTCATGTGCCTTGCCAAAGGGCATGAAATGAACAGCTGAACAGAAACGGCAAAATGTAAACCCTTCCTGTGTGGTGAATGTCAAAGAGAATTGGGTCTTTATTCTTGGTTCAAGCGTTCTAAAGTGGGTCAAACTCGTGTGTGTGTGTGTGTGATGTGAAGAAGGGCTTCATCAGCTATTTCAGATCCCTCGCTGGCACACTCTTGCGAGCCACCTCCAAAGCATTGGACATCATGCTCTTGCATCTTCTACCTCAACATCCAGGACAACTTTCCATACCCAACCTTTGGCAACACCTCCATACTCACTTCCACGACACACCAACCGACATCCATCTTACCGCCATCAACGACGACCTCGTCGGCTTCTTCAACAGCGTACCGCAGCAACGATTGATTGAAGCAGTCATGAGCCTCTGCACTCGCTGGCGACTCCAACACCATACCACCACCCTCACCATTGATGTCCAATCCACTGGCAATCCCATTCAACACTCCCACATCGGCCGGCACTACATCCACCACCCACAGCAACGCACTATCAACACACAACACATCCCTCTCATTGTTCAACATGCACTTCAATCATGCATTTTCCACGCCTGCAACTCATACTACAAACAGATCCAAGGTGCCGGCATTGGCAGCCAACTTTCCCCAGCTCTATGCAACGTTGCCATCACCCTCATTGAACACACTTGGCAAACTACATACCAAGATTTTCTTCAACAACCCAGCCTACACCGTTTCAATACACGCTATGTCGACAACCGCTACATCATGCTCAACGAACAACTCAGACAAGCACTACCCATCACAACATTCGCCCACCCTGATTTTTGCGAACACCCAGTTGAAATAGAGCCAGTGGACGACGACCATCTACTCGGCTTCCACATTGATCCGCTCAACAGAACATTCACTTTCCAGCTTCCCACACACCCATGGCAGATTCGCGATCCACAGTCCGCAGGCAGCCACAGATTACGGCTCTCAGGCCTACAATCAAGACATCATACATTACGTCAATACACATACCCCCAGCACCTGATCACAACCACATCCCAACAGTTGATGCAGCTCTATATGACAAAAGGTCATTCATACGAACATTGCGCCGCGGCGCTGCGGCCACGATCAAAAAGAGCGAGATTTTCTGCTGACAGCTGTTCATTTATTCTTCCGTTTATCTATTTATTTATTCGTCTTTACATGACCTACCTGCGCCGGTTTCGGCTTTCTGTGTGTGTCCAACCCTGTTTCCAAGGGCACTATAATAGCTATTCCTTCTACTCTTGTCATGCCACTTGTACAGCGTACCAGCAGGGGGGCAGTGAATCTCATTCCATCCACTGCCCAACGAAGACGGTGGTTTGAGATTGTGAAATGACTCCGGGACGCTGGAGTCACGTACCTGCCGAATTGTTTCACTTGATTCCTCCACGTTTTGTTCAAACATTCTGGTCGACTGACTCAGCACTTCTTTTTAGTCAAGGTCTAATTTGCAGCAACTCTAAAGAGCTAATGCACTCCGCGAAGCAGCCTGAAATCGCGCTCTACGGAGCAACCTTCTCAAGTGTGTGTGATGTGAAGAAGTGAGGATCAATTTAACTCTCGTGGGCCCCACACAAAAACCTGCCATGGCAAGGCAAATTCTTTGTTGTTAGAGCTTCTGTGAAGGCTTGCTACTGGACTGCTTGAAAACCAAGACCCTCCGATCCTATTGCAGTGAGGACCACTGCCTAACTGGAACCTTTACGTCGAACTGTTGTGGTTCGCCACTTCGGGGGACTACCAAGCACCCCTTAGACTCGAACCACCGCTGACGAGGAACATCCGTTCGTGAAAGAATGACTTCTTGGCCTAAGGACTTCTTGTCCGTTGTCATTGTGCCTCTTTGTGCTGGAAAAATGCATAGATAGATATTGAGTATTCCATTGCCAGTGACAGTGGATGATGATGATCACTAAAGGCCTTTCTCCAAAATAGTGATTGTTGTTTACCAACTGTTATAGGTAATGGGACAGACCCGAGATAAATAAATAGCCAACCTAGTGTTCCCCCGTTTCCGCAAAGAGTTTCCTGACCAAATCACATGTACGAGCGCTCGCTCAAGGACTTGTATCAAGGTTGCTATGCAGGATCAAAGAATCAATACTTGATTTGTTTCCTTCTCTAAGCATGCAGCGAAACACAAAGACTTTAGGAGCACTGAAGCGCACTGTGAAGGCATGAGATTTAAGATCGCAATGTAGGATTGGAGTCGAGTCTAGGCCCATGCGCAGGAGTTAAACCCTGATGTCAACGCCATTTGAAGGAAGCATGACAACATAAACGGCTTCTTTTGTTCCGAGTGGAGAAGAGAGTGTTCTTGAAATAACGACAAGTCGATTCTGTCAGAGGTCGCTGCACTACTACATGGGCAAAAAAGCAACGTTGCTCTGCGATGCTTCTGAGCTCCTGAGTTGGGCCCGAACCCCCCCCGCCTGTGAACCTTCTGTGATCTGTCAATGGCCGAGAAGTCAAAAAACAATCGCTGGCCCCATGCCTGCTGAAAACTCTGGCGCAAGATCACCATGTGCTGCAAACAGGCGAGGTAGATCCTATAAGTCGTCAAAGCTGAGGTGTTCTCAGTGATGATGGCCCAGTCTCCCAAGAAGTTCTCGGACGAATCAGCTTCAGTCTCGTCGATGTCTGCTGCTCCAATGTCTGGATTAAAGTAGATCCTCAAGGGAAAGCGATCTGGATCTTGCAAGATCTCTTTGGTCTCCGACTCCCGAAAACGAATCGTTTGCCCATCCACATCCACCACCTTGTAGCGCAAACCTTCATCCGTGACCTTCACCTTTTCATTCTTAAGAACTTCCAAGACCTGCAAAGGCCAAGCTTCCTGCCATGCAATCTCCTCAAACTCCTTCCCCTGGAGTCTCTCGGCTTCACCGGAGCGGTGACCGGCCGCCGCCGCTTCCGCCGCCTGGTCCACGCGCCGGCGCACGGCCGCCGTGGCGTCGAGAAGCCGTGCGTGCAGCGCGCGGCTCGCGGCGCTCGGTCCTTCACGAAGGATCGTCTCCAGCGCCAGGTCCGAGGTGTTCATGGACTCCGTGTCAACGACCACCACGGCAGGACAGTCCACCGAGAACTGCGCCTGGAATTCGTGGCAATCAGCCCAGGTGAGTTGAAAGTACTTGATGTCCAGTTCAGCTTCAATCTCAGCGAAGAGCGCCTTGCCTTCTTTGACCGAATCCTTGCTGGTTGCCAGAAAGATTACTAAGGAAGCGGGTTGTTCTAGGAAGATCCAGCTATTGTCTGGGGTGATCTCCTTCAACACAACTGGCCTCTGCAGACGAAGCCAGTCAATCAGCTTGTCTTCATTGCAGAGAACCTTCATGGATGATTCGACATTTGCAGAGATCGGTCCAGGAAGAGCCTTTGCTGCGGAATTACGGATGTACAGCACACTGGGATGTACAGCACCATGCACCAATCCAGAACAAAGGCTCTGTCTGGCTTGTGCGAAGATCATCTCTCCACCGAGATGACGTGCTGCAGCTTGGAATGCTGCGGTCAGGTTGGCCTCATCTACAGTGCCTTCTTCAAGACCACAACCCAAAATAAATGGCCCTGGGAATTGTGTGAAGAGAAACTCGAGATCTTCCGAGCTATTCTGCATTTCTCCTTTAGGAATTAAGTCACGCTGTAGGAAATTCAGTAGGTGTTTCTTCTTCACAACACCCTTGTACTCCTGCTGGCAAAATCCATCCTTGTAGTGCAAAATAATCAATGGATAAAAGCGGGGGCGTCCAAATCGGAAGGACTTTTTCGAGGGGTTCGGCTCCTGCCATGCCAATTGGACCTCCGGAGCCTCACGGAACGTCAAATAGCTATGAACTGTGATGTCCACAGCTCCAAAGTAGCCAAGAGGTGTAGGATTTTTCGCCAAGGCATCCGCAGTCTGCTCAATGGCTGGCTGTAGCTCGCGAAAGGACTGTGACCGTGGGTCATAAAAAGCGATGAACAAGGAGTGGTTTCGAAGCTCCCTGAGAGTTTCATTGAAGTTCAGAGTGCCGATCTGGATGACATTGGGGCTCCTGAAGTGCGACTCCCCAGACTCCCACCAGTTCGCCGTGCAGCCATGGCCACTGCAAGTGGCGGAATCGGCACGCGTGAGTGTCCGCACGGAGGACACAAAGACTAAGATCGCTGCAATCTCTCTGCACATTGCTGAAAGGCCATGGCTGTCGTCACTTCTCTTGGGACTATTGAGGAAATGCAAAGAATTGTTCAGTGTATGTCAGTATTCCTTTGAGGTACTTCCTGAGCAACTTGCTGTTTTTGTCAGGGTCCTACATCTGTTCAGCAGTGTGTCCAAGAAATTTGGAAGGACAAACGCCTGTTGGACTGCATTCTTGCAGTACATCAACTCCAATGCACGCTGCCATCAGTTCTGTCTGTGCTTCTATCGCTGGGCTGTCAAACTGCAGTGTTTCTGGAGGTTTTTGATTGAGGTTGCTGGAGCGGAAAGACTCCTTGCATGCCATGGCTCTGAGGCTACTGGTGAGATCTGGATCATACCTCGCAAGGCATCACACCGGTGCTGCGGTGTGCAAACTTCCTTCAAGGACTCAGTCTATAGGGCTGAATCACTTAAACGATACCCTCTGTCTAAGAGTAACAGACGTTTCCAAATCCAAAAGCATATCCGAAAGGGATGGACAATCACTAGAATGGAATTCATTTTTCTATCTGGCTGTGATAAAAACCCGGAGACCTTGGTTGACCACCGAAAATGAAACAGAATAGACTACGAGGGGAGTTCAACCTACCACTCCGGGTTTTGACCCACAACCATTTGGCACTCACTAAAATGGAGTTTTTTTTTCCAAAGAAAACACCCTTCTCCTGCCCGCACGCCTCCGGTAGTGTGAATAGTAGCTGAAGATGCCAGGGCAAAGCAAGACCACCTACGACGTTTTTCTGCAAAAGCGAAACGTTCAAGTCAAACAGCCACACCTCCCGCAACCGAATCATTGTTCAGAACATCCGTTACATGCTAGTGGCCTCAGTTGCTATAGAAATGAACGTGTTTGATCTGTTTCATTGGCTGCAAAAGAATCTCCTGCACTCCCCCCTCATGTCCATAGCCAGGTCCGAACCTTCAATGAGAAGCAAAGGATCAGCATGTAGCCTCGAGTCAGTGCGTTTGAACAGCATGGGTTTTAGACCCAAGGAGTGCAAGCCACCGGTTTGCTCTCCACAAGTTGGAATCACTCGCTTCCCGGCCACCAAGCAACAAAGGGATTCCTACTCAACCAACCAACAAAGGGATTCGCTGCACCTTCCCAGTGGCCATGTGAGAACACGACACGCCCTGATCACCGCGGAGGATGAAAATCGGTCCCCTCGCAGTCACCGGTGGATCTTTCGCATTGAACGCAGTCGAAAGAAAATATAAGTGCGATTTCACGTAGATCAAACCATGATAGCTTCAAATGGTTGTAGCAACCTGAGACTGGGATGTTCCAAAGCGTCAGATACCCTGAAAATTCAGAACACGGTCCAAGCTTCCCTGCAAACATCTTCCGCTCCGTGCTCGGCGAGGCGCGCGCAACGACGGGCCGGGTCCAACGGCACGCGCGGGAACCGCTGGGACCCTGACATAGGATTCGCACCGGCGTGGAATTGTTGGTCTCCCACTGGCAAGGACATGCGTCGATGGTGTGAACCGAAAAGCACACCTACCACAGCTCTCATGAGAGGTGGACACCTCTCATTAAGACGACCCTTCAGTGAAAAGTCGTTTCATTTTATCACTGAAGTGATCATCTACTGTGGCTGCTCATCCAATATCATTCAATGTTCCCTTTTCAATCTGGATCTCGATTTGGAGACCTCGTCCTAACACTCTAATAAATGAAGATGGTGCACTGATAGTGTCACGAACAATGAAGTGGATAGTACCCCGACTTGACCATTTAAATGCAAAAAATGGAATACAATAATGTATTTACTTCTGATTTGTCCGAGACCTGAGTCCCCATGACATCAACCCACGAAAACAGGGACTCATCCTCCCATCTGTGAGGCCTGCACCGGGCCAACTAATGCTGATTGGAGGATTCGTCCATCTGCTGTGCAGTTTGGCATGGAAGGCCTGAGCCAAACCACAGTCACCCGACTGCAGTCACCTCTCCATGGCAAACAAATTGCATGCCAAGGTGGTGGCTGATGGAGAAGGCAGGCATGAGCACAACGTCCAGAAACTTCAAGACATCTGTCCTTGGATGCAAGAGATCGAGTGACTAACCATAGCGGTTACAAACATCAGCCTTTCCAAAACCATCCAAGATTCATTGAATGGAGGAGGAGCTGCTTTTTGACCAGCAGTGAAGCCCTTGAAGTCCTTCCAGAGTGAGTCTCTTTCAACTCAAGTAGACACTATGTGTTTCTTGAAGTACCTGTTCATCCGGCTCTTTACTTGGCTGCCTTCTCTGCCACAAAAAGGTTTATGCTGTCAATGGCCACAATATGCTGTCAATGTTTTCAGCTGAATTTTATCTGATATGTCTGATATGTGATATGTTCGCCTTCAGCAGGAAACCAAGAACCCTGTGAGATCCTTGAGGTTCACTCTAAAAAAGAAGGGACTTGGATTGACTCTTCTCGCCCCATCTGTACCACTTCCGAATCACCGATCGACTTGCTCAGCCTCATGGCGATAGACTGAGCCGTTAATGGCGCAGGCCACCAAATAGAGGGGGGCCCTGCTTGCCGTAGCACCAATGCGGATCCATGGTTAACCTGTCTGATTGAGATTCGATGAGACTGGCTGCTGCCAGGGATAACACAAGCTCTCCTCAATGGAAAAAAAAAGGATGTCACCGATCCGTTCTAATTCTGACCCACGTGAAGCGTTCGGCCTGTTCTGCTGCTGAAAATGCATGCGGAAGCGAGCAAAGTCGCCAATAATGGGGCCGACCCCCCTCTTCAAGGTCTTCATCCAAAACTGCAGCAGAAACGGCTGGGAGCTGCGGCCCCAGATTTATTGGTGCAGGCTTAAGCGGCTAGCTTGTTTGGCAAAAATGACAGGTCGCTTCACTCAGACTTGCTTCTCCTAAAGTTTCAGACAAGTGTATCTATATATATATATATAATTCTGCATAAATCCATCCAATCCGGCTCCAATTCTAAAACGTGGCAACGAACCTCAGGCCACACGCTTTCTCGAAAGCGTAATTCGAGCCTGTAGGGTTATCGACATGTATCATGTATGGGCATAGATTCACACCCTGCCTTTCCATGCGTGCGTGCCCACTCAAGCACGCTTGAAACCCGTTAGTGATCACAGCTTCCAGTGCACTTACTCGGTCTCCTGAGGTTCCGGTTCCTCAAGACTTCCATCATCTCACTTCCTTTTTCTTGTTTTTCTTCTTCTTCTTCTCCTTCTTCTTCTTCACTTTCACTTTCATCATTTTCTCTTCTGGCCTGACGGTCTGGCCTTTCACATTCAATTCAATGGCATCCAAGGCGGACCATAGTGCGCCGCAATCCACCCCAGCCATTCTGACAGCTCAAGTGGGCAATCACTGCTCTCACGCCCCTTTCTGATATGAACGGTGTCTTGGCGCAAGCTCTTGATATAGTCTATCACCTCCTTTCTTGCCTCCGGCCCTCCAGCGATGATCATCTCCTCTGCAATTGCTTGAACATCTGATCCCCGGTCGTCTGCCTGAATTGTCTCGCCTTGACGATGATGCGCCTCTGTCTGTTTCGGTCTTCTAGAGCCGATAGGCTTGATATACTCTGCCTCCTCCTCCTCCTCTACGCGCTTTGCAAGGCTACCATTGTCAGTCATGCTCTCCTCAGAGTACTCATCTTCTTTTCCTTCAACTCTCACCGTTCTCACATGCGTTTCGTGCTCTCTGATGTACTCTTCATGGTCCACGTAGGTTGTTGTCTCAATGTTGTCTCAATCACTCCTTCTTTCTCATTCTCTACCGCTTCGTTCTTCATTCCGCCATGGCATTGGCCGACAACTTCTCTGAATGATAGGCTTGAATTGTTGGCCTCCTGGTTCATTGCTTCCGGCTGACTGGTTTCTCTCATTTGTCCAGCTGCGCCGTTCTCCTCTCTGCACGTTCCATTGCGACAAATCAACCCTGTCATACTCGTCGTCTGCGCTATCTTCCAGCGCTCGCTACGCCTGCCAGTCTGGCCTGCTAGCGTGGCTCTCAGCAGATCCCAAGAATCTCTGTGCTCCCTCAACTTTGCACTCAACTTCCACAACACTCGAAGCCAAATCACAACGACAACGCACAACAACAATGTCATCAATGCCTTTGCGCGAATGATTTCCTCCAACGTCTCTGTCCCTGGCGCTCTTCTTATCGCAAGACCATTTGGCTGTTGCTCTTCCCTGCGCTGCCTTTCTTGCCCAATGGTGAATGTAGCCCGGCCCAAGGCTGCGTCTTTGAGTGGCGCAGTCACGGTTAGCCTGACTAATCTCGTTGGTCGCCGCGGCCTTCTCTGGAACATCCTCTTCGCTGTCAACCATTCTTCTCTCACCTGGAGTCTTTTCTTCAGTTCTGCCTTCATTCTTTCACTATCGAGCTCCTCCTTGACCAAATCTCTTCTGCCTCATTTGCGAAGCCCGTCGGGAACAATAACACGTTCACTGCGCTGGGTTCGTCACTGTGTCCAGCTCAAGACAGGGGACATAGGAGTCAACAATGCTTCACTTGCCCGCTCCTACTCTCTGAGCAATTGCCAAGTATGGTGACCACAAGCCTTACCTTCCCGTCTGTCAAGCGCTCTATGATGCTCTTGCTACGTACTCTACTGACTCTGTACTCAACAGGGTGTCTTCTGAGTCGGTGCGTGGAAATGAACCCAGCTTCCACCCAGAAAAATGCATCCTGCGCTCTGGTTGCCTTGCTCCCTGACCTACCTGAGTCACAAGCAACCTCCAACAACCACATCTCTTCAGCTTCTAACAAAGGCGCAGCAGTAAGACCTCTTCTCGCGCTCAATTCCTGAAGCATTGTTCCTTCGCTAGCTTCTCATGACCAGATGGACATCCACTGTGGCGATCAACTTCTGACGCGCTCTCCATGCCTGGCCAATCACCGGCCATGTAGGTCCGCTCATCATCTTCAACCATGGTGCTGCCATCTTCAACTCCACTTCCTGGCTTGGCTTCTTGAGGGGACTCATCATCTTCACCAAATCGTGGGCATACTTCTCATTCACCATCATCATCATCATCATCGTGGTTAGCAAGGTATTCACCAAAATCATCTTCTTGTACTTCGTGAGTTGGTCAATCACCCTGGCCACTTCTTTGTCTTCTCCTCCAAGTACCATCTCATCGACATGAACCAACAAGACCACCACCAAACCTTCCAAGGCTATCATGATTGCATGACCTTCACCTCCTCTTGCTTCTCCTCAATTTCTCCATCAACCTGTCAAATTTGAGCTTCAGCTGTAAGCAAGTTGCGATGGAACCTTTGCTGAAGACTCCGCGAGTGAGCCTCACAGCTCCATTCTCGCCTGCAATCTGCCATCCTCTTCGCCAATGCAAGGAGGGTTCAGCCACATTGGACAACGCAAAGCTCTCTTTCAACTGTACCGCGTGGCCATTTCATCCTCTCAAAGCACCATTGCCTGGCGCATCTTTCAGCATGTCTCATGTCTGAGTGTGCTCGTCTTGGCCAATGGAAATCCAACGCCTTTGAATGAAATAGGAAGGACTGAAATGTCTGCAAGCCTGCTCCGGTGTGCTTGTGATGCGGACACAGAGCACCGTCTTGACTCTCCTGCCAGTCTTTGCATGATCTGTCGAGGGTGCAGCAGTTGAAACCTGGCCCACACAGTCTCCCCCCCCAAGTCTGAGTCAGCGTGGAAGTGGATTATTGACTTGGTGTTCTCATACAGCATTCACGGCCCCAATGGCCCTTGCCTCCATACAATTTGTCAAACATCTTGCGGGAGACCTTTGCCCTTTCTTTTACCATCCTCTCCTTTTCCATCGTTGCCTTTCTACTGCTTCACCTTTTCTTTGTGGTCGTACCTGCTGTGTCACCCATGGCCTCTGCCCTTCTGCTTACCTTTTCCTTTGCTGCCTTTGTCCTTTCCTTTCCATTTGCTGCCTTTCTCCTTGCCTTTCACTCTGTCAACATCCATCAGGACCGCCTCGTCCTTGTCGTGATCCTTGATGATTACATCTCCTCTTTGGCCACCTTGGCATACTCTTCCGCCACGCGCTCAAGACCAAGGAGCTGCTCCAACACCGTAGTGCCCTTGTCCTTCGTGAAACTTGGATGGCCCACGAAGCCCTGGAGCAAAGCAATCGACCGTGATCTGGTCTTTGGCGCCAGCTGGGATGACAACAACAGCCCACAAGAGCGCCAAGGGCCGATTCCGCAAGAGGCCAACGAGGATGGCATACAACTTCTCAGCTCTCACCTGCTCCTCCTTTATCACGCTTCTCAACTTCACTTTCTCTTCTGAACCTTCTATGGTCGCAAGCTCTTTGTTGTAGGCCTCCTCAGCAAACACGCTTACAACCTTGCTGGCGGTTGCAAAGCCCTCTCCATCTTTCTTCTCACCTTTCTCTTTCACCTCCTTCAACATCTTGACGGCTTCCTGAGCCATCTCTGTTGATTGGTGTGATGCCTCCACCAGCGCCCCTGCCACATCGGCAATGAGCCCCCTGGGTGGCTCCGCTACCATGAAAACGTGGCAACGAACCGCCGGCCGCATGCTTTTCTCGAAAGCGTGATTCGAGCCTGTAGGGTTGTCGACATGTATGGGCATGGATTCACACATTCACAGAGCTTTGGCTATGGCAGTGAAATGTGCACACCTCCAAAAGCTCAGAGCATCGACTTTCGACCCGTCCGGATGCCTTTCGTGATTGGATCTCCAGCAGCATCGACCGGAACGGGCGGCTTCGTCTTCACGTATGCCTGGGCCAGGCAAAACAACCATTCAGGGTGGCAGACATTCATGAAATGATCCCATTTGCACTTTACATGCCGAAAAAGACCATGGCGTACCTTGATTATCATGAGTCATGAACATAAGCAAAAATGATAGCAAATGATCCTTTGAGAAGTGTCCACTCATCCAGTCTCTTCATCACGACCTATCACCACTGCCTCGTACAAAGGACGCCATATACCCGGCGTGGCTTCCTGAATCCATTCCACGTGTCGAAGAAAAAACACCCGGGGGACCAACGTCTCCACATCGGCTAAGAACCAAACCGACGTCTCCAGGATCACCGTTGCAGGTTGGGAGAGGATGCTGTCCCCTTGTGGTTGGCCTAAAGAGCGAGGAAAGGAACAGAGCCAGGCCTCATTGGTTGTTCATGTTGAAACACAAGCTGAATGATGTTGTTCGAAAGACGGAACCCAGCCTAATCCACGTACAGAGACCTGAAATTTGGGCCTCGTGACATTAGCCAAAGCACTGCATGTCTTCGTTGGTTGTTTGCATCCCAAGCCTCTCTTCAAAGCTGAGTTCGTGGCAAGGATGCATAGATGTAGGAGCTTTTTGCATCTTCACCATCCCCTGTGCTTTAAACTTTAATACTAATACGGTCGACTCTGAACACATACGCGAAACATCGCCACGAATTGTCCAGAACAGGACAGCAGAACAAACAAAGAGAGACAAACAAACACTGATCATTCAGGCCTCCAGCTTGTCCCCTTCCCACAACACCAAAAAAAGTAAAAAACATACTGTTTTGCTGACTCTCTCTGAATCTTACACCCTTCAGAAAGATCCCAAAGTGACATCTGACGATGCTTTCGTGCCGTGCTTCGTGCGGAGCGTCCTGCCTGAGAAGAGCCCACCGATGCCGCCCCCATCGGTGTCATCGCCGGGCAGCGGCACGCCCGGAAAGCCCGTAAGCCCCGGGATGCCGGGCATGCCAGGGATCTGAAGGCGTCGGAAGGAGTCCTGGCCACTCTCGCGAACGAGTCCCCGCGTGGCCACGGGTGAGACGAAGCGTGTAGATTGGCTTGCTGTAGTGTTCTGGTCTCGAGCAAGAGAAGTAACACTGAGAAGTTCAGTCTAAGCTCTATATATATATATGTGAAAAGGCGTTCCTTTTCGCACAGGAGGCAAGGGGTTGTTTATAGCAGCAAAGAGCATTGAGTAGTTGAAGACCAGGAAAATAGTGGTCACAAAGCAAATCTGTCCCCTTGGTTTAAATGTTCCTCCTCAATCTCGTTGGGATTGTACTTGCAATTGTGACCTCGTCAGCACCGCTACACTCTGCACTCGCACTCCGGGTTTGCGACGGGACGCTACTCTCAGGAGCGGGCATCTCCAGTGCGAGAAGGGCGACTCTTTGGTCAGGCACTCGCCAACCTCGTCAACCTGAACTCAAAGTTGGAAACACTCAGTTGGACAGACACCCAACCGGACACCCTTCTCAATGAAAGGGGCCTCTGGGCATTGCTTCATGGAGACCTGCAAAGAGGGACAGTGACTGGACACCATCTCCACTCCTCTCAGATAGCGAGTCAGCGGCCTCGCCCTGGAAGTTGGCCTGGCTAAAGGTCTTGCCAGCAAAGGACTTCGGAGACACCTCTCAAGTACTTCAGCGGACGTGAACGATCAGAAATCCAAAGCTCACGAAACTGCTGTCCCGGCCTCGATCTTTCCCTGTGCACTACAACCTGGTAAATTCTGAGGTAGATGTGTCGAACCACAGCTCCACCCGCAAACACCACCAACCTCGGATATGCCGGTATGCTGATACAGCAATCCAAAGGGAATCTTGAAGTGTCCCAATGTAGGGACAGCTGGAACTGGTACATCGGCTGACATTGATCTTTCGATATGGCAGCAGAGCTCCCAACTGAGGAGCAAAGAGTGGCAATCTGCACATCTGTGACCTGTTGGGAAAAATGTAAGCCCTGCCAAGACCAAAGAAGTAGCGTCATGCTTGTGAGAATACAATCTTCAACACCGCAAGTCAATGTGTCTCAAATACTAGAGGACATTGAAGACCCCCATCCCTTGTTTCCAAATTCTAGAACCCAGCTGGTAGAAAAGAAGACACATGTTCTGAGTGATTCCATTTTGCTACTTAATGCTATGAGATGCCCATGAGCCATTTACCCAAGCAAAGTCATCTGGTCTTCTCCCTGCTCAGCACCGGCCTCTTTGGCGGTTGAGAGCTGCTCCAAACGCTCAGGATCCCAAGTCATACAGGCCAAGACCTGAGCTGTGCGGTCTTCTCCGTGCGCCAGCGGAGTTCCGGAGTGGAATGCACATCGCTTGGGTGGGGGGTCATTTCCTTCGGATCCTAGTAGCGATGCCCGAAATGCTCCGTTCGTAGCGTCCGATCGCTCCTAGTAGTACGGCCAGGAGCCCCGTTCATAGCGTCCTTGCTCCTAGGATCCGTTAAGGTTCCTTCTTGGACCTGCTGAAGTTCTTGCGTCCTTGTCTTCCTTGTCTTCGAGGCACCCCAGATGAAGAGTTTGACCGTCTCCAACTAAAGAGCTTGATGACGTGTGGAGGTTGTTCAAATTTCAAACGAATTATCTATATCCTCCAACTGCTCAAAGAGGTTGTCTGAGAGGTTGCCCAAACCATGGCCCGCAGTCTGCCAGGACCCTGGCATAAGCTCCACTAAGCCCAGATGGCATTTCTTGCGGCTTGGCAGGTGGGCGTGAACAAGAGGGAGTAGAATGGACAAAGACTGCACCTGGCAAAGCAGTCAAAAGAAATTTCCCATTCCCCCACCACCTAGATGCAGAAGTGCTTGTAAGCAGCGCCTGATTGAGCCTGGGCCAAGAAGGACCATCCCAGACACTCGTGTGTGTCGTCAGGCTCCCCAAGGCTCCCGTGTGCTGAGACGGGGACCGTGTGCTCACTCCAAAACGGTCTCGGGTGAGCGAAACGACGATCACTGACCACCTGGGCGCTTCTCAAACCGTGGAGGAAGGATGGCGGAAGGACACGTGTCCTCCTGCAGGACTTCTTTGTACGGACTGTTCAAGAGGGCTGTCTGAAACTCTTACTGTAATCCTGGGACCCTCTTTTTTCTTGCAAACCAAAATGGGACGTACTGAAGGTGCATGCGTCACGAAACTGCAACACCCGTGTCTGGCATCGCACTCGGTCGAGCTTCAAACTGAACCTTCCACTAGAATCACTAGAAATCTGAACACGAGTGTCTCAGAATGAAGGAGTGCATCAACGATTCTCAGAAGCACAAGAAGCTCAGGGGAAAGTCAGAAGCACTTGGTCCCCTGTCTTCCACGTTTTCGACCACATCCTACTTCCGGTGTGCCGACACCCGTGCGCTAGGTTGTTTGGCCAGGACACCCACCAGTCCTGGAAGTCAGCTGAGGCCAAGAGCACCGGATAGACCGTGTGCGCATGAGCCTTCAAAGCGAGAAACGCAGAAAGCCAGAACATGAGAGTGACTCACTTGGAGTAGACTGAGAGGTGCAACTCATACAATCTCACACATGTGGTATTTTGGTTGGCACAAAAAAAAGCCTGCTGATCGGTGCGAGATCACTTGCATCCGGTCGCTCATCGTCCATCCTTTGGATCAAGGCTGAACAGGGCGACGGGCGACCCTGCCTGGGTCAACGCGGAGTCGTTCAACGACAAGCTCACACGGAAGTTCATCTCCTCCGTGCGGTATCCACGCCAAGCCTCGTGGGAAGTGGTGAGGAAAAGGCATGGGAAACACACATGTACATGATGTCTGTAACATGAGGGGAGAAAAGCCCTGGCCGGGTTCTGCTTCTGTTGGTGCCAACATCTCTTACCAAGTCATATTCCACTTGTAAAGGAATGAAAGGAACGGGGCCCCAATTCCAGCAGCCAGCTATGGAAAGTGAGATAAATGTACATGTATAGCCTATAGCTTTACTAGGCTGAGGCTCAGCCCTACCAAAGACAAAGAACTGACTTCACATGATTTCACCATGACAACGATTCTCAGCACTGGAAAACAACTGAGAAGAGCACTGAGCAGCTGTAATTGCACTCACCTGGCTTCACATACTGAGAGGATAAAACTCGACAACTGCACTCCTGCAACACAGTTCCAGGCGTTTGTCTTGCTTGCATGAAGGAACACATCCGCACTGCTTGGAACATAAGCCACATGAGCCCTGGACTTGAAGATTGTGGAATGGCACTCATGTGGATCTTGGGTTTCATCTGCTGCTGCAGCCTCAGAAGAAGGGACCTGCTTCAGTCTCAGTCGCTGAGACCAAGCCATGCCACCAAGAAGCACTTCCTCACTGTCAAAATCTCCGGGCAGAAGCGGAAAAGGACCATAGTCCTCATACCAGAACCTGATGAATCAGCAAACCCATGCAGCAAGACGAAGAACTACAACTCACAAGATCTTTCTGGCAAGACAATCTGATGGATCAGCACTGTGGTCTGGCCAAGGTGACTGTCTAGGCTTGGGGTTCACGAGGAGCCACTTCACCCACAGCGGGAAGATCATCCTGACAGCATGGCACATCAAGGGTCACACCATTGTGAAGTTCTTCAAAGGTCAAAGCAGCTGGTCTTGGATGCATTAATTGCAGCGTAGCTGCAGGAACAACAGAAACTGCCAGACCTCGGCTTCAACCGGTGCAGGGCACAAGGGCGTCTCAAACTTGGTCATTGCTGCAAAACACTGCTATCAATTTGGTCTCGTGCATAGCACCAATGGCAAACACGCTGGGCACTGCACACCTCACAACAAGCAGCATGTCAAAACTGAAGACTCAAACATGGATGTCTCTCCACAAACACCGAACACGCTCCAACGCCTTTTCCCCACCCAGCTTTCGGTTCGGTGCTTTTCTCCGGAAGGCCCAAAACAGGCACCGGGCCAACACCGCTCCATCTCGGCTCCCCGGACGGGCAAACACCGCCGGCGGCGGCTCCGCAGCATCAGCGTCTTCGAGCCATCGGACTCCGCGGAGCCATCGGTGGAGTCCACACCGCTGGAGGTGTACACGAACTCCGTGGACTCCGGATCGCCTGGTGGAAAGGACGGAGAGGTCGGAAGACGAACGAAAAGGGGAGGGGAAGATGTGAGGAAAAGGTGAGGAAGGAGTGTTTTCACTCAGAAAGAACAAGAAGGCACAAAAGAAAAAAAACACAAGTAATATCAAATAATGAACAAGTTGGAGGGTTTATCGTTTTTGTGTTCAATCATGTTTTGACTTGTCCTCTTCCTGTGCATTCACATATCAAGCATCATCGAAGCGCCGTTGGCACAAATTGAATTTCAGTCGCATGCTTGCGCTTTTCCACCACAGACTTGGACACAGCTTCGATCCTTTGTGTTCAAGATCCCTCTGTATGAAAGCTTACTAATGTAAGCCGAGCATCTTGTCATGGCTGGCCCAAAGCCATCACTCAGAAGACGCTTAAGTAAATGAAGCAAGATAACCTCCAGTTATGACCTCATGACCTGCAAAGCTGATGAGTGTCATGATGTTGGGTCAACTATTTTGCTTCATCCATCTCGTAACAGGCAATTGGAGCCCTGGATACATTTGAACGGGGCTATGTAGACCAGGGAATTAGTTTCTTCAGATGCTGGCTCATCATGTCCATGGATTCCAAACCTACTGCCTTGCCCCTGCTTCTATGTCAGAGTAAATCTGCAAGCCATTAGCAATGGCCACGGTGTGCTTGCGCGACAACAGATCCATGCAAAAGGCCATGCACTGCAGCATCTTGCAAAACAGTACAAGTCGGTACAAAGTCGCTCCCGTCGTGGCCTTTCCCTCTTGCCCTTTTATCCAATTTCTTCGAGACATCCGAATTCGCCATTGCCCAGGTGTCCTGACTCTTGGAGTGAGACATCCTGTGAAGACAGCTACTCACTTCTGGGTAAAGGAGAAACTGAAGTAAAAGGAAGTTCATCGTTTTGCTGCGAGATCACTCGTGGACGATCGCCATCGGCACAGAGCAAGGAGAGTACCTTGCTGGCCGCAAGGGCTGTTGGATCTTTTAAATTTTGAAGGCCTCGACAAACCGCATTCCTTTGGAAGACAGGCTTCTAGGTCAGCGCCTAAAACGGTTCAAAAACCATCTTTGGCAATCAAGTTGCCAATCTTGTGTCTTCAGACACTTCAAAGGCTTCTCTTTCTTGCTCTTATTTGTGAATTCCTTGCAATCATCTTTCACTTCAAACAGTCCTGTGCTTGGTCAACCTGCTTGGTAGTCCTTCCAATGGTTGTGCTGAACTCCCGCATGAATCCAGCCCGGGATTCTTCACAGACCTCCAAATCAAGATCGTTGGTTGGATTCGCTGTGACTGTACTTGACCGACAGTCAGCCGCGGATAGAAGCATTGGAGGATACTGGGAAGGGCGAGAGGAAGGCCCTTCCTCCTCATCCTCTTCTCCCTCGCCTGCCATGCTCGTGTGGTGATCGATCAAATCATCCAAAGACTCAAAGATGTCCGTGCTCTTGGAGGGTAGGAAGCGATATCGCCTTGAATCACCTTCAGAGCGCGCTAGGTAGGAGGTGATGGAAAATCGGGCTGCCTTCTTGCCATGTCCATGTGGAGTGAATGTGGGAGGTACTTGTCTGTCTGGCTGAAGCAGCTCCATCAGTCGTTTGTTCCAATCTTGTTGCATCTTCCCTAAAGGAAGATCATTGGGGTCATCGCCAAAGGGATGGTCGATCTCAGCTGAGATGAAGAAGAGCGCCCAAAAGCCTGAGATGGCAATGAAAGTGACCAATCCTGCACAATACCAGGGATGGATATACTGGCTTGTAATCGTCGCTGTAATGACCGAGTGAACAGCAAGCATTGTGACGATCAGCTGAGCATATGGAAATGGGAATGGAATATCCCGAATCTTGGCCAAGTCTGACACTCTCACTCGCCCCCCTTCCCAAGTCTTGAAATGAGCGCGAGAGAATTGGAGCAGGTGCTATCAGCACCTTCTTCAAGTGGTTATCCAAGATCAAACGACTTAACCATAGGCACAACACGTCACATCGGTTGACACTATCTCGCAGCTGCCTCAAACTCTTCACGTCAATTCCATAGACATCTATGAGCTCCAAGCGCTTGTCGGCCAGCTTACACACTGCCTGCAAAGCAGAGCAATGTAAAAGGCTCATCAATCTCACTAAAAGCTCCTGGAAAATGACGACTTCCTCTGCTTTCTCTTCCTCTGGTGAGCAAAATGCGATCAAACTAGTGCACACGTTGAGCCATTCTCCACGCATCTCATTCATCAGAGTTGCGCCTTCCCAAAAGCGGGAGTAAGCCTGGTTGTTGCGGAAGACGACCAAAAAAGAAAGCACGAATGAATAGCTGGACCACACAGAATTGAGACTGGTGATCCATTCTTCGCCATCCCAATAGAGCTCAAGCAAAACGGCCAAGATGGTCATAGGGAGCGACCAGGTCAAAGTCTTTGGGAAAACTGAACCATTGCATTTCAGTACTCCAAAGCACACCCACCATGTTCCAAGCTCATAGTCAATCATGGCTTTGCGACGATTCGGCGACGATTCGGCGACGATTCGGCGACCTTCCAATCTCGGAACACAAAAGCTGCCATGTTCGTAGCCGTCAAAAACATGAACAGCCAACAGCACTGCATGTAGTAGGCAGTCTTTTGCACCTATCGACAGTTCTAGCCGAATATCACAAAACCCATTCCATTTATGTCAGTTTCGTGTTCCCTTGCCTTGCTCGCCTCTGCTGAAACGCATTCTGTGATTCCGTGGGTCAGGTCAGTTGGGTTTCCAGGCACTTTTGCGTCAAGCGTTTCAAGTGCCAACTGAAAGGGCGACCAAAACATCTATATACTGTAGTTGAAACTGTGGAATTCAGCTAAGGAACGGTGCAATAGGCACACTTTTAAGCAATGGAAAGGAACAACACCACCAAAATTAAAAAATATGCTAGGCAATTTGTCTCAAAGTGGCATGTATCAATACAATGGCACTCGGGAAATTTGATGCTTGAAAAACCCTCCTTGGGAATGCCCTGTGAAAACGGGCATTACGGCATCATTTTTGCATGGTACTTACAAACTACACGGACAGGAGTGGCATGAGACTCCTCGCTGGGAAAACGTTTTGAAAACACAACGAAGAACATTTGTGCATCTAAGGCCTGTCAATTGACCAGGACATGTTGAACAATCACATGAACAAACGGCACAAACAACGGTCAAATACAGGAGGTGGAGGGCGAAAGTTCTCACAAACACATGTTGTCTCGAATCGTTTGATGGCATGAAGTAAAACTCAAAGCTGCGCACACCTTTTCTACAAAAGTCTGGGGTCCAAGCACTCCTTGGGCTGAGGGCTTGGCTGTAGCTGTCATCAAAGCCCCAGCGGAACTTGAAAGTGGAAGCTGGGGAAAAAAGGGGTGGGGGGGGGGGCCTCACTTTTCGGCCGGGAGAAAAGCAAACCCACCCACCCTACCCTTTAAGCCAAACATTGCAAATGAAAATGCCATCCGCTCCTGATGTCGCTTAAACTCTCTCGAGACCGAACGATCGTCTTCGACGAGCTTATCAGTCTCGAATCGTTTGATGGCATGAAGTAAAACTCAAAGCTGCGCACACCTTTTCTACAAAAGTCTGGGGTCCAAGCACTCCTTGCCCCATTTAAAATTGCTTGGCCCTTATCGTCTGACGAAAGGTGTGCAAAAACTCAAAGAACTCTTTGCCAGCTTCTGCAGTGCAACGCTGTTCATCCTTAAGGAGCGGATGCACTGAAAAGCGAGAGGGGTGGTCACTGATATTACATTCAGTCGGGACTCTAGCGAACCAAAGATGCGAACCGAGTTCAGACTCAAGTTCGAGCTGCAAATAAATCAAAGCATTTCCTATCTCTCCTTGTGCACTTCCTTTGATAAGCGCGAAACGCACTGCATCATTGTCTCCAAAGTGCACCGTCAGGTTTCCAAAAGCAAAGTTCTTCCAGAATCTGAGAGCAAAGACTGCGCTCAAAAGCTCCAGCTCATAAATGATCGTGTCTTTCCGAGAGGATCCAAACACCTCACACAAGTTGGAATCAAGGAAGATTCCAAACCAAGCAATGCAAATGCCATCTCCACTCACCAGTACAGCGCCCAAGCCTCCGGTGGAGGTTTCTGGTTCAAAAGCCGCATCAGTGTAAACAAAGAATTGCTGCAGATCAGTCAAGTCTATTCTCTTGGGCTTGCAGGCGAGAAGTCGGTGGCGCATCCAGGTCAGCGCACTCTCGAGAGGCTTGCCAATTCGAGCTTCTGTGCCATAGGCGTGTTCAACAATCCTGTTCAGAACCATCTTGCCCAACCTTCCGTGAACAAAGCTGTCAGCAAACCCTAACCTCCCTCGAAGGACGAGGGATTCATGCTTCGACGTGCAACCGTTGACTAGCATTCGATCGATGTGCTCGATCAACTCCTGCTTTCGTGCTTCTGTATTACCAATGGACAGGATACGGTCGCGAGCAAGACTAAGGTCAAACTCTACTCCGAGGGCATGACAAATCCTGGCGAAGTCGGTTGCTTTTTTTGCCGTCTCGAGCAAATTCCCAGCCAGTCAAAAGAAAAATCATTTCCATACCATGTTGCGCCGACTTCTGATTTGCTTCCTTTGAAACCAAAATGAAGTCGTCGTAGAAATTAGTATTCAGCAGAAAAAGACCTCTACACGCAATGCTATGTAGGGAACGAGCCAATCGGAGGAAGTTGTAAACACTGTGTGTTGCACCAAAAGGCAAAGTCTTCATTCTGTAGATCTCCGATTTATCAAGCTCATGGTTGTATATGCAGAAGTAAGCAAACTTCAAATGCTCACCTCGGATCGGAACTTGACGGTAGGCGCTCTTCAGGTCGTAGGTCTTTGCAAGGAACTCTGAATGAGATCCAAAGTGCTCGCAGCGCCGAAAAAGTTCTTTCATGAGAGCTGCAAAGGTGTCGACCATGTGCAGATCGATTTTGTGATGGGTGGAGGTGCACTCGTTGACCCCACTGACAGAGTAGTCATCGATCATACGGATCTTGGAACCTTGACGAAGTGAAAACCTTCTTGAAATCACTGAACCCTGTTCCAATTGGGAGAGCTCGAATGGACCTTCTGCCCAACCTTTGCTCAGCTCAAGACGTGTCTCCTCTAGGAGCTTCTGGTCCAGTTCTAACTCGCCACACGATGTAGCCATCTTGACTATTGCCTGATTCCTCCTGGCCGAACCTGCAACCAACTGTTCAACTGTGGCCATGCAAGGTTTGTACTGTGCTTTGAACAGCGAACACTTGTGAACATCCCCAACCAAAGTCGACCCGTGCCGAAGAATGTCCAACACACCCATGTCTTCATAAGAAATGTCTTGCAAGATCTCTTCAGTGAGTAGCAAGCGTTTGGCTTCTGT